CTCTCCCTGGATCCTTCCCTCCTCCAGGTGAACATTCCCAGCTCTCCCTGGATCCTTCCCTTCTCCAGGTGAACATTCCCAGCTCTCCCTGGATCCTTCCCTTCTCCAGGTGAACATTCCCAGCTCTCCCTGGATCCTTCCCTTCTCCAGGGGAACATTCCCTGCTCTCCCTGGATCCTTCCCTTCTCCAGGGGAACATTCCCAGCTCTCCCTGGATCTTTCCCTTCTCCAGGTGAACATTCCCAGCTCTCCCCGGATCCTTCCCTTCTCCAGGTGAACATTCCCAATTCCCTCAGCCTTTCCTCCCAGCAGAGCTGCTCCATCTCCAATTCACCACAATTCACTATCTCCAATTCCCCAACACCCCCAAATCTCCTCCCAAACCCCCATTTTCCATTTCACACAGCTCAGACGGAAATAATTCCCCTCCTTTCCCTCCTCCCTGTTTTTAGACCCAGACAATTCCCCCCACTCCACGCATGGGCACGGACTGGAGGCCTGGCCCGAATTCCTACAAAAACCCCACAAATGTTACCTGGGAATGCTCTGAGACCCAGCAGGGCCTGTCTGCAAAGCTCAGCTCGGAGCGAGGCACAAACCATGCCTAACTCAGGATTGATTACGAACCGAATGAAGAGAGAATTCCCCAAACCCAGGAAATGTTGCTTACAACCACCAAACTGAGGGGCAAACTGGGACAAAATCAGGACAAAACTGGGAGAAAACTTCCCCGTGGCAGCAGGAGGGGCTGGAGGGTGGCACCCACCGGTGGCAGTCGTGCCACACCCAGGCGTGGCGGCCGTTCTTGGGTCGGAAGTCGGACTGGCCGTTGTTGTGGATCTGCGAGGAGAAGCGCAGCAGGCGCCGGTAGCCCGAGGTCAGCGAGGTGTTGTGGGCTGAGCTGGCCAGGCAGTTCTCCTCCAGGGCACACTGCAGCAGGAACATGGGCCTGTCCTCCAGGTAGGCCGTCTGCTCCACCAGCTCCGCGTTCAGCACCAGGTCGGGGGCGGCTGGAGTGAGGAATGGGTGGTTTCAGTTCGATAAAGTCACCCCAAAAGGTGATCACACCAAAAGGTGATCACCCCAAAAGGTGATCAC